GAACAGTGGTGAGCAGTGGTGAACAGTGGTGAGCAGTGGTGAACAGTGGTGAGCAGTGGTGAGCAGTGATGAACAGTGGTGAACAGTGGTGAGCAGTGAACAGTGGTGAGCAGTGGTGAGCAGTGAACAGTGGTGAGCAGTGGTGAACAGTGGTGAGCAGTGGTGAGCAGTGATGAACAGTGGTGAACAGTGGTGAGCAGTGAACAGTGGTGAGCAGTGATGAACAGTGGTGAGCAGTGGTGAACAGTGGTGAGCAGTGGTGAGCAGTGGTGAACAGTGGTGAACAGTGGTGAGCAGTGGTGAGCAGTGGTGAACAGTGGTGAACAGTGGTGAACAGTGATGAACAGTGGTGAACAGTGGTGAGCAGTGAACAGTGGTGAGCAGTGGTGAGCAGTGGTGAACAGTGGTGAGCAGTGGTGAACAGTGGTGAGCAGTGGTAAACAGTGGTGAGCAGTGGTGAGCAGTGGTGAGCAGTGGTGAACAGTGGTGAGCAGTGGTGAACAGTGGTGAGCAGTGGTAAACAGTGGTGAGCAGTGGTGAGCAGTGGTGAGCAGTGGTGAACAGTGGTGAGCAGTGGTGAACAGTGGTAAACAGTGGTGAACAGTGGTGAGCAGTGGTGAGCAGTGGTGAACAGTGGTGAACAGTGGTGAGCAGTGGTAAACAGTGGTGAGCAGTGGTGAGCAGTGGTGAACAGTGGTGAGCAGCACTAATCTAAATATTAGCTGCACTAACCCTGAAGCACTAAGTCAAATATTTAGTTCCTCTAATTCTAAAGCACTAAACGCACTGAAAATGTAGCAGAAATTAACTGTAAACTAAAATAATCCAGCTGAAACATGAAACCTTCTTCAGTCAACATGACATTATTTACTGTGAGCTCAGTGTTTTCACTTAGTGATCTTGGGGCCAGATGGAGTCACCTGCAGGCCACATCTGGCCCGTGGGCCTTGATTTGACACACATATGACCTCATAGATCAGTGACACACAAGAAGAAAATGTGTGTCAGTTTTCACCCTCAGCTGTGAACAATAATGTTCATTAATAACCTTTATAGAGCTCAGTTAGTGCTGCTAAGTTTAACAAGTGCTAATCCACTAATGAACTCTAAACAACAGCAAAAGCCCTAAAGCACTAATCAGGAATTTAATTTAATTCATTTTATTTAAACAGCGCCAAGTCACAACATATGTTGTCTCAGGGCACTGTACATAAAAAATTAGTTTCCCAGTTAGTGCTTTAGTGCTTTAGTGCTTTAGGGGAACTGTGCCCACCAGTGCTGCTGGGCTCTGTCATAAATTGCACCTGGAAACACCTGAGAACTAAGAACAGCTCAGGTGTTTCTGGGCACAAAGTGAATTTAATCACTAAGTTAACATAAACCATAAATCTGTTGATCTGATTGGTTCCTCTGGTTTCTCAAAGACCCGGATGTGAGGCAGAATCAGTGAAAACAGAAAATTTAACATTAAACTGAACAAAATACAGTTTAGTTCAGATTCAAATCTTTAAATTCAGTTTATAAACCAGTGCAGTCAGTTACATGATGACCAGTATAACCAGTTTCATCCCAGTTCTGTAAAAAGCAGAAGTGAGGAGGAAATCTGTGTCTGCTTTTCATCAACAATAAAATTATTATTTATCACAAACAAGTCAGATTATTTTAATCTTATTAAAGGTCAAAACTGTGATTTTAGTAAGAATAAAAGAAAAGTTTCAGGTTAGTTAAAGGAAACAAACACGTCATGAAAACATGAAGCGTTGATTTATTTAAATATAAAAACTAAAATAAATCATCTGAGAAGAAATAAAAACATCAAACATCATTAAATATAACATTTAAATGAATCTGAGGGAAGCGTCAGAGCAGTTTACCTGCTTTAAAGTTCGATTTGAGACGGAAGTGGAACCGAAGTGTCGAACAGAACCGAACTTTTCTGAGCGTTTGTGTCGTGATGCCTTCAGGAGCCCCGCGGAAATCTCATGAACAACTCTCTTCAGCTCATATTTGATTGTTTTGGATGTTTAATAAACTGACTT